GCTTTGCCCGTGATTGCAGTTATATACATTATTGAAAGTGGTAGTATGAGTGTGCCCTCAATAAGGGCATCTCAGCCCCGTGGCCAGGTTGTCAGATTCCAAAAGAGAATAAAAGGGGGAAAAAACGGGCACATGGATCCGACCGTGAAAATGGATGGATACATTCCCCTACGTGCCAGTGTGATGAGCCTTACAATCCTCTGACAAAACACCGTAACAGCTTGAGCAGATCACGAATAGCTTGAGCAATTCACGGACAGGGGACTTATAAGAAACACACGACCAACAAAAAAAAAAAAACAGTAACATTCAGAATGTGACCGCCTTACCTGTAAGGTGCATTCTGTAGAGGAAGATTGTGAGCACGGCCTCCTGGACTACCCAGCCCGACATCATTGCAGTAGAGAAAGCATTTTTTTTCCCCTTTTTCCTGGACTATAAAATTCAGATTTATGGGACATTGTCGACCCTGTGTACCACCCCGAAAAGTTCGGGTACTGACCAAGATATCGTAATTTTCTTAACAGTGTCGGAGGTACTGGTGGTTTAAAAGTCTTCTACTGGTCGAAGAGCAGCTACCTCCATGAAAATGAAGACACTCGATACAGAAAAGGATCAACGATTGACGTTTGTCACGAATGGCGGCACATGGTCGAAAACCAAAGAGCAAAGGGGTAAATCGGTCTTGGTCGGTCTGAGCCCCAGGAGCCTGGTCTCATTAGCAGTCAGATAGGAGTGTGGCTGATTCAATGGGACACTGAGTGGTAGCGGCCTGACATGTTCATTACGAATTTTTGGGGTGAGAAAACAGGAGAAAGGCAAAAAAAAAACAAAAAAACCGAGACCTCCCACCTGAAATCACGACAGAGTGTTTCCCAACCATCAGATCACAAATGATCTGATGGTGGTGGTTGCAACAACAGTGGACAAAGTAACTGCCACATTTTCTGGAATAAACTCGACTTCTGTCAGCAGTGATCCTGACGTCCGCCATATACTTCGTGATTGAAGGAGGGCTCCACCCAATGAGATAATTGCACAACAAGAAGCAAAATAATGAAAACCTTCTATCCAGCGGGCCTATGGCCGACCCCACTCTCTTTTGGGGTTGGTCATACCCCCAACAGATTGAAAAGATTTTGGCGGGAAGCTTCCTTTGCACCGGCAAGCCTAGTGTTAAGGAGAGGAGGGGGGGAACCAAGATCTTCTTACTTTTTCGGGTACTAATACATGTAAAATACTGACCGTGGGATCACGAATACTGCACGGCAGGATTTGGGTCACTCAATTGCCACACAAACTCTTTTTTATCCTATCCCGTTGCTAGTGGGACCATGCTCCAGAGGTGATCTCAAATTACCTTTTCGGTTTTTCCTTTCTCCGTGACGTATTCCAAGAAATTCATACATTATACAAAAAAAAAAAAAAAAAAAGTGCATAAGCAAAACACCCGTGCGTGTTATTTATTTTCGTTTTTTTTTTTTTTTTTTTTTTTAGGTTCTCTTTACTATTAGGGCCTAGTGCCCATGGCAAAAACAATCGAGATGAAGTTTCAGATTGAGGGGTCACAAGGCCTCCAAGTGCATCCAGCAAGAGGAGTTCGTCCCTTCTGAAAGAGAACCACAATCAAGTCCCCGGGAATCTACAAAAGGAAAGAACACCCCCCCCCCAAACCCTTGCAAAACATGTAACCCTAACAAAACTGGAAAAAAAAACAGCAGCAATGAACTAACTCCTAAAATTACATGTATTGTTTATTGCCTAAGCCGGCAGCGTTGACAGAGTCACAACACAGTCCCTACCACAACTACATAAAGACCCTCTAAAATTCAACAACGGAAAATTTTCCCCAAATTAAATAATCATTCTATAGTAAAATTACAATCTAAACTCCAAATGTTTATTCCATCTTAAAAAATGTCATTCCAATTTTAAAATTTTTAATCTTAGTTGCAAACTTTCATTCCAATAATAGGGTATCCCTTCTTATTTGGACTGCATGCTAGAGGTGGAATGAAAGTCTGGATGAGTTTATGAAATATTTTAATTGGTCTGTCATTCTAAGTAAGGATTTTCAATCATAAATAGGTTAATCCAATATAAATTAGAAGGTATTTGTTGTACTAGAATGAAAATTTAATTAAAACATTTCATAAACTTGTCCAGACTTTCATTCCATCTTGAACAAATAGATGTAGTTGGAAGGGAAAACTCATATTTAAACGGGAACTTATCAAATAAAACTGAAAATTTTAGAATTTGACGAACATTGGAATGATAATTTATAAATATGAAGGGTTTTTTTTTTATGGAATATTTTTTCAACTTTAATTTCTCGTGGGAATTTTTCTGTTGAACCAAGATGGTAACGAAAAATTTGTCGACCTAAATTCCTTGTAATTAACCTAAGCAGAGCTCCACAGAAAAACCAATTAAAGACAAAAATTCCTAAAGTCTTTGCAATAGACCTAAGTAGAACTAAAAAAAAAAGAAAATTTTTTGAAATGCCCCTGAAGTTTACGTTTATTTGCGGCGTGCCCCTCTTACGACCGACTTACCTTGCCGCGCCCCTCTTACGACGAATGATGTTTCCAGAAAACCCTTGGCGTTGTTTGGGCCTGAAAAATGTTTCATATGCCCCTATCGGTACTAATACCAAATTTTCAGTACGCCCCTACCGGATGGTCGTTGAGAACCAACACAAAAGTTTCCCATATGCCCTTATTGGTACTTTCCATCTTTCTAGCGAGCCCCTATGGCCGTTGTTGACACTCCCAGTCTTTCCCCTCGCCCCGGGAGAGATGCTACCGG